ACAGACACACACACACACGCACACACACACACACGCACGCACGCACGCACGCACACACACACACACACGCACACACGCACACACGCACACACGCACACACGCACACACGCACACACGCACGCACGCACGCACGCACGCACACACACACACGCACACACGCACACACGCACACACGCACACACGCACACACGCACACAATGATCCCGCTGGGGACGACACGCTGACGTCGGAAGCATCACGTAACGATAATACATTATACAAAACTTTACTTAAATGTATATTGCGTATAAACAACAAAATTGTACAGTACATCTACTTGACGTACTATTTATCTTTAATGCTTTAAGGAAATAATCATGAGTAAAATATTATTAATTTATTCAGGATGCAATATAAATTATGCAGCACATAATCTTACAAATTGACACTTACAAAATGTTACATTGTCATGCAGCACAATACACCACACCACGGCACACGTGCTGCTAAAAGCCGGTAAGCTGGTCTCGTTTGCTGTCTTTCCTAGATGTTTGCTGCTCTGCTGTTTTGCCTATCAGCTGCTGATCTGCTGCCCGGCCATGATCTGCTTTATGATGCAAACAAAATAAGACTGCACAAGCACGTCGCATGCGGCACAACAACAAAAACCCACAACAGACAGTGCTTTACAACCAACTAACAAACAAGACGTGACGCAATGCAAAATTGTACAATGACGTACATAGGGCAACGTCAACAAGAAAATGCACAGCACAGACAAGGGATGCGTTTAACTAGCGCGTGACTCACCGGAGGTACGACAAACCGTGACGCGGAAACGCCGAAAGCTTACGGCAAAGCGGCCGACGGCGAGGCGGCCGACGGCAAAGCGGCCGACGGCGAGGCGGCCGACGGCGAGGCGGCCGACGGCGAGGCGGCCGATGGCGAGGCGGCCGACGGCGAGATGGACGACGGCGAGGCGGCCGACGGCGAGGCGGCCGACGGCGAGGCGGCCGACGGCAAAGCGGCCGACGGCGAGGCGGCCGACGGCGAGACGCTGACGTAAGTCCTCGCCCAGGCTCGCTCAGACCGGCGGGGGGATCGGGCGGGAGGTGGGCGGGGAAATACACACACAGGCACGTTGTTAATCACCTAGCAGGGGACGCAACGAGCACTGAATATGCACGGCAAAACGACATGGGCAGTTGCGCACAAAATGCAGAAACATACTAATAAGCACACAGGCGGATCGCGGGCAGTTTCGAATTCTCCATCACAATTAAAACAGTAGCATCCCCACACACACGCACACACACACACACGCACACACACACACACACACACACACACACACACACACACACACACACACACACACACACACACACACATACTCTTACACACAACTACACACACACGCGCGCGAGAGAGCACATTCTCACCCACATTTGAACACCTACATACATACAAACATACATACATACAATCGCGCACAAATACAAGCCACTGAACACCGCAACAATAACCACCGGCCGGCTTTGCAGCTTCTATCTGTGTTTGCTGACCTTATCTTTGCAGTTTGCTGCCTTTGTGCTTTTGCTGTCGCTGTTGCTGTTGCTGCTTGCCGGCACAACAGGAGAAAAACACCGCGCCACGAAACACCCACAGCAAGAAACTTTGCTCCGGACGTATGTACGACATCACTAAATCACGAACGGACACAAAGTGGCACCCACGCAGTGAACATACGGGGAAAGACCTTCATGCCATACTCCCTACACGCCGTACCTTGCCAAGGTACAACAATTTCATACCGAAATCCCCCTCCGTCACCAACTCGTCTATCCATGTGCAACACGTCTTCTCCCATAGAATCCAAGAACCTGCCCAGCACACCCACCTGGCGATTGTGACGTCAGCTCGGCCGCTAGTGGAGGATGATGACGAAGGCAGTGCGCGGCAGCGGCTGATGCACGCGAGGGGCCCTTGGGGTTCCAGTTCTACACACTCGCTGGCGCCAGGTCCCCTCGATCACACCTGCAAAAGGAGCAAGACAGTTGCCTTACTATGAAAGTCGAAATGAGCAGTCGTCTCTGTCGCGAGGAAGGTCAAGGACATCGGACGAAGTGGTCATGTCTCGCCTAACGACGTGTACTTTTCTGCCAAACTGTCTAGCTTTCAGCCTTCGTAGCCTCCTTACACAGCGTAAGCATAATTGTCGGGATTACGCTCAAACGCCGCATACGCCCATATTCTTGCAGCAGAGCGTTGCACAAACGTCGAAAGCCCGTCGACAAAGCCACCTTGATGCTTCAAATATCCATACATGAACACGAGAGACAAGCAACTCACCTCAAAAAAATTGAGTCGCACGTTGCCCTCAGCAGACGAGTTAGGCATGTCGATGTCCGTGAAGCGGCGACGCTGTGCCTGGAGCAACGTCAGCAGGGGCTAAACAAATAAATGATTGAGCTAGCCGCGTAATAAAGTAGAGCAATGGAACTGAAGTGCGGCGGCTACAGCGTGAAGGTTTTGCAATGAACAGTACCTTGCAAACGTTTGCAGGGTCCAAAGCAGCTTCTCGGAATTCCACGCAGCTGTTCATATGTTCTAACTCATTTGCTGGTGATATGTAGGAAGCTAGCAGCTTTTACGAACGCAACAGAGGTGGAACAGGCCAAAATACGTTGTGTAAAAGCCAGCGATTATATATCGGACGTTGTGCACATTTGCTAAAAGAGCTGGAAGTGCTATGGGAGGTGCCTTTTGTCAGAGGCCAGCTAAGTTGTACGGCGTCCGGTAAAAGGTGCGCAACAGCTGCAAATCCAGGTGTGTTGGTAAGGTGCAGATCGGCGAACTCACTTTGTCGACAGTTAGCCTATTTATATTTATATTATAGCTGCATGTCACTGCATTATCACGTCCACTCCCGTTCCTCTGCACCTGGTTACGTCCCCGGAAGCAATATCCCTCAGTGCAAGCCCTTGCAACAAACAACATATCAAGTCATCATGAAGGCCGCTGCTCCATTTTTGCTTATGCGCAAAGCGGGCGATTGACGTATTCTGCTCATGGCGGAAGTGCCACGAGCT